CAATTTGTTAGTAGTTCTGTTAATTTGCTCACTGTTCCAGTTACATAAATAGTTACTTGTTGATTATAGAGTGACTGAAAGGATGTCGTTTGATTTAACCACTCCACTACAACAGATTGGAAAGTGAAAGGCAGGTTATACCACTTCTCACACTTCTTTTCAGATTATAGGGTGAGGCAAGGCTCCCTTGGTGTTTCGGTTTTAGTTAACAGAGGGGGTTAGACCTCCACTTTATAACATATTGGAAATAAAAGAACTTGCAAGGTTACAAGAGGAATATCCTGGATTGTTCACTAACTGTCATGGCTAGACTTCAGGCCCATAGAATTAGACAGGAAGAAGTGGAGTCATTGAAATAAAGATGATTTCGAAATTCAGTTCTTGGATGCAATTTCAAAAATGTAACTAAAACAGCGAAGATGAAAAGAATGATGTTGAGATGTTTAGCCCATCTTCTTTAATAGAGATGCAACAAACAGATTCAGAATTGAAAACATTATATCATTGTTGGTCTTTTCATGAGCTCCTGATGTAGTTTTTTCAAACACTTGCAGCTGCGAACAGTCTGTGTTGAGTTGCTCTTAAACAGTAAAGTTTTCAAAGCCGTAAACTCACTTGGTTTTCCAGAAAATGTCATCTGGATGCATTGGATTTTTCACAGGTGTACCTCTCGGTATAAAACAACAATGCCCACTGCTGATCGCTGTTTGCTATTTGTGGGTAAAAAGATGCTCCTCTTCCTTTCATTGGTTTAAGGATCTATTTGGTTTACTTTGATCATGGAAGAATTCACTAATGAATCTGAATAGGAAGAGGCTCTTTGCTCAACAAAATATAGTTTATTGCATGATTTAAGTTAGGTAAAATTTACATTAACCAGTTAGAAGGGGAGATGTGGTGTACCAGTCATTCATAATCCAAAATCCCAGGCTGGTGATGTCTGGATGTGAGTCCAAATCCCACCACAACAAATAGTAAAATTTGAATCCAATAAAAATTTAAAATTTAGGTCTTTTGTGGCACAGTGGTAGTGGACATATCTCTGTGCCAGAAGCCCAAGTTTCAAGTCCCACCTACTCCAGAGGCGTGTAATAATATCTCTGAGCAGGTTGATTAGAAAATAAATGCATTAGCCATTTTGACAATGCTGCTAAGACTGTTGGGAGATGTAGGTAATGCATCTGTCCAGTTGAAAATCCAAAATTATACTCCTAATGTAGCCACCTAATATTGTACAGCATCGTCAGGTTGGTTAGAGCTTACTGCAGTCTCCAGCATTACCCCTTTCAGAGCCATTACCTTGTACAAACAATTGATAATTTGATGCAAGAATAATTTATCCTGCAAATAGTATATACTAGGGACAAGTTGTGTCATTGGTGAAGAATGTGGATATGGAGCTCACTGGTAGGGGTGACTATCAGGTGAGTTGCTGTGCCCTAGTGGATGTTGAGTTTTTGAATTTTTTTTTTGTGGCATGATACATATCTGTTAATGAAGAATTTTTCATCACCCGAGTGATTTGGGTCTTTTAGATGGTGTAAATTGTTTGAGAGCTGAACCATCACCAAAGAGCTCGCTATGCTCTTCCCTGCTCTTCTCACAGTGTGGCTGCTCCAGTTTATCTTTTGATCATTGATATGACTAAAACTGTTGATTGTGGGGTACACTTGAAGTTCACAAATTACTTTGTTAATGTTAATTTGATTTTTTAAAGAATGTAAAGCTGCTGTGTGTTGACAAAATTAGATCATAGCTTAATCACTTTGATAAATACCCATTCTTTGAAGAAACTGAAGATGATCAGGTTTTTATTTGGTTGAAAATTCTGTTTGACGATCCCATACCAATTCATTAAGTATTTCCATTTCCCAAGAGCTAGATGAGGCTGAACTTGGCAGTCTGCTAGCAGTCCTCCAGCATGCTGCTAAAAATTTATGGAAGAAGTTCTTCTTCCGACAGAAAACTCCTACCAACTCCTCCCCACAGTTTCACTGCTCAGATCACAACTTCAACGTGGCCAGGAACTATATCTTGTGTCCCATCACTGTACTGAGTTCTTGTCCTTCAATACTGTACCATCATTTTTCCCAGGTGATACCATTAAGGAATAGCACTGAATACTTAAACCAAGTGAGCTCTTGAATGGTTGCACTTGTCCAGTGCTTCTACAAGAATGCATTAAATATGTAATTTTTAAATGTGGAAATGTTATACGTTTGGATAGCACTTTACAATCTCTCTCATCTTGTATATTCTCATCTTGTTTATTTTTCCCAACCCAAGCTGTCATTCCTTCATTGAACCAACTCCAACTTAATGAACAAGTTGTTAGAAATTTTCTTATTAAAGTTTACTTTTCTTTCAAAAGTGATTTCATCCTTGGTATTTCTCTTAAATGATTTTAAGGGACGAAAAAGATGGCCCCCACCACACTATTACCTAGCCACTTCAGCTTGTCTTTGGCCTCAGTTTTGAGACTGAGCCAACTGTTCTCAGTCTCAGAATCCTAACTGACCTTAAACAAACTTTCCATCTTGTAACGTCTCCATCATCGAAACTGCCTACTTCTGTATCCATTTGGGAAAGTAGTTGATCTCTCTTCCCTGTCTCGGCTCATCTACTGCTGAATTGCTCCTGCATGTCTTTTTTACTTTCAGACTTGACTCTAGACTCCATGCTTCGTGGCCAGCTTCCCACTTTTCATCCTCCTTAAAATTCAGCTGATTCGTACATTGCTTGTGTCTGATTTGTTGCATGTTCCCTCCAGCCATCACCGCTGTCCTTGTTGTCTTGGCTCACGCTCATGCTGCAGTTTCATTTTAAGGTTTTGGAGTTTCATTTTAAATTCTCATTCTTGAGTTTGAATCCCTCCATGGTCTTACCCTTCCCTATCCCTGTAACTTTCTCCAGCTCTACAACTGCTCGATACCTGTGTATTTTTAATTTTCTTGTCTTTTGCACCTCCATCAGCAAGTGATGCCTTCACTGGCTACGTTGTAATCCATGGAATTTTCACCATAAACACCTGTATCTCCGTCTCCTTTTTTATATGTTGTTTCTTGAAATCTACACTTTGATCAGTTTTTTGGCTAATCACCCTATCTCTATGCAGTTCACTGCTACGTTTTGCCCAATCATCGTTGTTTGGAATGCCTTAATATTTTTTGCCACATGTTTTACCACATTAAGTGGTGTCTGTAAATGTTGCTGCGCATAGTTGAATGAAACTGTGTCATACATTGCTTCTAAAAGACGCTTGTATAACCAAGCAAACCCAACCCTTCAAGGTAATTAATTGATCTGGTAGCAGCTCCCTTACAGGCTTGCAAATGGTCTCCTGGAAAATGTTTCATTCTAATTTAATTTGATGTGCCTGGACATCGTATTTATACTGTTTTTAACTTATAAAAATTTAATCAATTTTTCTAATCAACCTGTTCAGAGATGTTATTACTCACCTCTGGAGCAAGTGGGACTTGAACCCGGTCTCCCAGTCCAGGTGTAGAAACACTGCCACTGCACCACAAGAGGGGTCCTATTTCTGATATTGAATCATTTTCAGGGGTAAATCAATTAAATGTAAAATTGCAGTCTCTTATTTGATAATGATGAGCTTTCACAATCAAGGTAGACATAGTTTATATTTGCACTTGTGTGCATAAACGTGTGTGTGTGTGTATGTGTATATACACACATATGTAGAGCACCTTAACTACAATATGACACAAATGATCCTTCGTAGGAGAGTTAGCAAGCCAAGGGTCTTTTTATTAATGGCCTTCTATTTCATTTCTTGACAAACATGTGCACGCAAGTGCACTCACACACGTATGCTAACACACATTATCCAGGACGAACAGTACCACAGAAGATGCTTTGAAAATGCTGGTAGTTCAGCCTCATTTCATTATGCAATAAATTTTGCTGAAAATGTTTAATATTAGCATCCCTAGTTGCTAATTCCCGCATGTGAATATAGAAAAAGCATTCTAAAAGCCACATGCTCTTTGCCACTGTGTGTGAACAAGCCTATTTTAAAGGATTAGCACTTTTTAATGACCTTAATCCTCTCTCAATCTTTTTTTTTACATTCATCGTAATTTTAGTTTTGTAGCAATAAAGGCTTATGCTTGCAGGGTATAGTGTGCGATTCTAAATTAACAAAATATTTATATCGAAAATAAGTCTATGCAGTGACATTTATTGAAACTATTTAAAGCGCCTACAACATCAGATTCTACTGAGAGGCTGTTACAAAATAAAGGTCAGATTTTCCTGCTGCAAGAATCTTTAGGGAACAGTCTGGGGTAGTATTTTCTTATCAAGTGGCCTTAGAAGACAGTTTGGATTGTTTAGGGATTTGCTGTACTTCTGCATATAATTTTTTTGTACGAATGACAGTCTAACTTAAATAGAAATATATCTGTTTGATATTTAAGCTGCAAACACAATACTGTTTCCAAGAAATAAGTTAATATTATTTCAAAGTTTTTCCACTTTAACCAGTTTAGTTGTGCTTTGAGAATTCCAGTTATCAACCAAAATAATTCTCAACTGATTTCATTCGGGAATGTTTTGAATAGATTGATGGAGAATTGGAAGACCTGGCACCAGAGTAGCTACTTGCACTGGACCTAGTTACTGGGTATCTTCTTCATCCTAGATACGATAGATGAAAATGAATAAAATGTAGTATAACCTTATTAAAATAGCATTTTTGTGCTTTTAATGTTCTTGATAAAATGATGAAATATTCAGCTTAATAAGTTACTTAGCCACCTATAATTGTTGGAAATGTTCAGAAACCTATCTTTCAGCCGTAAAGTAGGTCCTATTTGGCAAAATTATATGGCACAATTAGTTTTATCATTGGCCATCGTATACTGCTGAGAAAAGCTCAGACTTTAATACAACAAAGTTGCATGCTGTAAGAATGGTTTGCCCTTATTCATCAAGTCAATCGAGAATTGAGTTTTATAATCTTCTTGCATTTGCAGATGGTGACGATGACCCACAAATATCATGGGTAGCTTCATCGCCCTCCAGTAAAGATGTTGCATCACCCTCCCAGATGCTAGGAGAAGGCTGTGATCTCGGTCTGGTGGATGAAGAAGGAGGGACTGGTTTGCCCTACCCATGCCAATTTTGTGATAAATCATTCAGCCGTTTGAGTTACCTTAAAAGGCATGAGCAAATCCACAGTGACAAACTTCCCTTCAAGTGTACATTTTGTAGCCGCCTATTCAAACATAAACGAAGTCGTGACCGTCACATCAAGCTTCACACTGGAGATAAAAAGTACCACTGTCACGAGTGTGAAGCAGCTTTTTCTCGCAGTGATCATCTCAAAATCCACTTGAAAACTCACAGCTCAAGTAAGCCATTCAAGTGCACAATTTGTAAACGTGGGTTCTCTTCCACAAGTTCATTGCAGAGTCATATGCAGGCTCATAAGAAGAACAAAGATCATATTACAAAGCTTGAGAAGGAGATGAAGAAAGAAGATGTTGTTTGCGATTATTGTGATGAGACATTTAATCAAGTTGAAGACTTGGAGAAACATATAGCAACAAATCACCCACAGATTTGTGAGAAAGCAGAGTTACAGTGCATTCATTGCCCTGAAGTATTTGCAGAAGAAAATGCATTGATAAGTCACATTGACCTAGCTCATGGGAATAAGAAACATAAATGTCCTATGTGCCCAGAACAGTTTCCTACAGTGGAAGAAGTCTATTGCCACTTGGATAGCCACAGACAACCAGATTCTAGTAATCATAGTGTAAGTCCTGATCCTGCTACAGGAAGTGCAGCTTCAATGAGTAGCACGACCCCAGATTCTAGTGCTTCAGTAGAACGAGGTTCCACGCCTGATTCTACCCTAAAACCATCCAGAAGTCACAGGAAACCTTCAGGATCTTTGGAAAGAGAAGGAAGTCAAAACTCTTGGTCACCAAAAGTCACCTATAGCTGCCCATATTGCTCTAAGCGTGATTTCAGTAGCTTGGCTGTCCTAGAAATTCATTTAAAAACTATTCACTCAGATAAACCTCAGCAAGGTCACACATGCCAATACTGCCTTGATTCACTTCCCACTTTATATAACTTAAACGAGCATGTCCGGAAAGTCCACAAAAATAATATTTTTCCAGTAATGCAGTTCACCACTGCATCAACGTTTCACTGCAATTACTGCCCAGAAATATTTGCAGACCTAAGTAGTTTGCAGGAACACATACGAATTACACATTGTGTTCCAAATACTCTCTCTCAAGATGGAAACCATACCTTTTTCTGTTCCCATTGTTCACTGGGATTTCTTACAGAATCTTCACTCTCAGACCACATTCAACAAGCTCACTGCAATGTAGGAAATCCCAAGCTGGAGTCTCCCGCACTCCAAGCCACGCAGTCCTTCATGGAAGTTTATTCTTGTCCTTATTGCACCAATTCACCCATTTTTGGCACCATTCTTAAGCTCACAAAGCACATCAAGGAAAACCATAAGAACATTCCACTAGCAGCAAACAGTGGCAGAAAATCGAAGTCAGAACAAAGTCCTGTTTCTTCTGATGCAGAAGTCTCTTCTCCGAAAAGACAGAGGTTGTCAGCAAGTGTACAATCACTGTCAAATGGGGAATACCCATGCAATCAATGTGATCTCAAGTTCTCTTCTTTCGAAAGTTTCCAAAGCCATCTGAAGTCACATTTGGAAATTCTTCTAAGGAAGCAATCCTGTCCTCAGTGCAAAGAGGATTTTGATTCCCAGGAGACCCTGTTACAACACCTCACCATACACTACATGACAACTTCGACTCATTATGTCTGTGAGAGCTGTGATAAGCAATTTTCCTCAGTTGATGACCTACAGAAGCACTTGTTGGATATGCATACTTTTGTTCTATACCATTGCACGTTGTGCCAAGAAGTGTTTGATTCCAAGGTCTCCATCCAGGTGCATTTGGCAGTGAAGCACAGTAACGAGAAGAAGATGTATCGCTGCACAGCCTGCAATTGGGATTTCCGAAAGGAAGCAGATCTTCAACTTCACGTCAAGCATAGCCATTTAGGCAATCCAGCAAAGGCCCGTAAATGTATATTCTGTGGCGACACATTCAGTACAGAAGTGGAACTGCAATGCCATATTACAACACACAGCAAAAAGTATAACTGTAAATTTTGCAGTAAGGCCTTCCATGCCATTATTTTGCTAGAAAAGCACTTAAGGGAGAAGCACTGTGTGTTCGACAACAGCAGCCAAAATGGTACAACAAATGGCATTGTATCATGTAACAAAAGAGTGGAGACTGATCTTCAGAACATACTGATGAAAAGCCAGGAAGCTCTAAACAGTCACGAAGCTAGCGAAGATGATATTGATGCTTCGGAACCAATGTACGGCTGTGATATCTGTGGTGCAGCATACACTATGGAGGCCCTTCTGCAGAATCACAGGTTGAGAGATCACAATATTCAACCTGGAGAAGATGATTGTTCACGGAAAAAGGCTGAATTCATCAAGGGGAGCCACAAATGCAACATCTGTGCTCGGACGTTTTTCTCGGAGAGTGGCCTCCGAGAGCATATGCAGACTCATCGTGGACCTGCTAAACACTACATGTGTCCTATTTGTGGTGAGAGGTTCCCTTCCCTTCTAACACTGACTGAGCACAAGGTCACACATAGCAAAAGTCTGGATACGGGAACTTGCAGGATCTGCAAAATGCCATTGCAGAGTGAAGAGGAATTCATCGAGCACTGTCAGATGCATCCAGATCTGAGAAACTCTCTCACAGGGTTCCGTTGTGTAGTTTGCATGCAGACAGTCACCTCTACTCTTGAGCTGAAAATTCATGGAACATTCCACATGCAAAAATTGTCTGGAAACTCTGCATCATCATCTCCAAATAATCAGAGTCATCAGAGACTCTACAAGTGTGCTTTATGCCTGAAAGAATTTAGGAGCAAACAGGACTTGGTGAAACTTGACATCAATGGTTTGCCCTATGGCTTATGTGCAGGTTGCATGAACAGAGGTACCAATGGTCAATCTTCAAATGTAACTCAACAGGAAAACAATGAACGAACCAGTGTCAGTCTTCGGTGTCCTGATTGTTCAGTTAAATTTGAAACCGTCGAGGATCTGGAGAGTCATATCCAGATAGACCATAGAGAAATGACACCAGAAACAAGTAGCCAGAAAAAGTCATCACAGGCATCACCTGCTCCAAGGGTAAGCAAATAAAAACATTCATACATTAAAAACAGTAGGTAAATTTGATATTAATGCAAGTATTCCTCAGCTAAGTAGTGTATCCAAATATGTAATTATAATAAACTGAGAGATTTGTCATCTTTATTGATTTAGCTGTGTGGCATCCATTTTTTTAAAATAAGAATTTTGTAAAAGTTTCAACTTGGTGCCATGTTGACTACAATTAATAATTTCAAGGTGCAGTTCAGTTTGAGTGAATTTAAGTTATTGTGCAAATTTAAATGGTCAGTGAGGGTAGTTAGCCAACTTGGTTAGATGGCTAAGGTATAGTTCAGATTGATGCTATCAGCGCAAGTTTGATTCCTTTCTGGCTGAGATAGATATGGGTGTGTCTCCTTCCCCTGCTCCTGAACCTGGAAAGCAACGGCAAACCAATAAGAACACTGCCAAGGAAAACAGCTTAAGATGAAGCATCACCAGATAATGAGTCTAAGACCTGCTTTTAGGCAGAGCACCCATGAATGACATCTCTAAATATACAATGCTAAATGAATACATTTAGTAATTAAATGAGTAAATAATAGTTTCCTTCATCTTATAATTGTTGGACAGAAGAAGACCTACCAGTGTATCAAGTGCCAGATGACTTTTGAGACTGAACGGGAAATACAGATCCATGTTGCAAATCATATGATTGGTAAGAACAATGTTATATTTTATACATTGGAGTCATTTGAATTTTTTTTTTATTAGTGCAAGTTTTTTGAGTAGAGGGTTTTGCCAGGAAATGGCTAAGTTATTTGCGGAGCTGCAAGTTTTATGACCTGTTTTGTTGCGGTATGGATATTTTGTCAGTACTTGGGTAGATCTGAGATGATATGTTAGGACAAAGTATTCCAACTATGTTTTGCTGAACATGCCCTCTTTTAGCAATATCTTTCTGTAATCTGTGCTCGTTGTAGGTATAGTTGGTAACCCACAATTCCTCAGTTATGGTTCTTCAGCTACTTTCTTCTGCTTTGCGCTTAAAGGTTTTAGTATTGAATCTGATAATATGATTACTGGCTGGAAGAGTGCTCAGATGGATCTGTTCCTCTTCCCTGGTGTTCAATGAGTCGAGGTTCAATGGAACCTGTGTTTTTGTGTTTTGAACACGCACTTCCAGCAACAAGGTGCCAGATGGAAAAGTTGTTCCAGACACTGTCCAACTTTTTCATATCCCCTCGAGCCATTCTATATCCTTCACTCCAGCCAAGTTTAGGAACATCAGCAGTAAAGTCGTGTTGACAGGCTTCATTGAAGAAAATTAACATAAATCAAAAAAGTCAATTTTAAGCATTTTATATGTGAACACCAAAAATAAAGATGAGGCAGATTTTTTTTGAGTGTTCACTTGGTGGCGAGCAGGGAGGGAGATGGTTGTTTTGGTTTTTTTTGGCATGAGTTTGCTACCTCACATGAAAGAATAGGAGCACTGTAAGTGGCTTTAACTAATGGGGAGAAGAAAAATCAGCAAGGCCTTCTCCCTATTCATTATTATGGAGAGCCTGCTGCTGGGCAGTGTGCACGTGGGCATGGGCTGAACTCAGGATGGGGCTCACTTTTATTGCTGTCCCTCCACTGCGTACATATATTTAAGCATGGTAACGCTGAGTTGGGGAATGCACTGAGGACTGCTGCTGCTCATGGAACTGCATTTCAGCAGGAACAGGATAGGAAAGTGATAAAGAGAGCAGGGATTTGGATAATATTATTTACTAATGTACAACAATATATTTATACTTTTTCAGTTAATGGATACATTACAATAAAACATCTGGCATAAAAACAGAAAATACTCAGCTGGTAAGGCAGCATATGGGGAGAGAAACTAAGTTGATGATTTGTACTATGCCTGGCACATTGTTACAACAACAACAAAATACTGAAATGTGTTTTTAGTTAATTGGTTAGGTTGCTGACAAACTGGATGTTTTGTCTTATATTATAATTAGTCACAGTGTGACTAATTTGAAACCATTCCAGTGAAATATTATGCAATAGATCAAGAATATACATTTTATTTCCTAAATGTTGTGAAGAATTGTCATATTGGAGTTGAAACATTAACTCTATTTGCTTCTCCACAGCTGTATGATGGAGCTGCTGATTTTTTTCCAGCATTTTCTGTTTTTATTATAATCATTTCACACCACACCTAGATATTACAGACATTGACAATCGCAAAATATAAGTTGACAAATTGTGATAGATTTTACTTAGATTTTCTGCCTGATTTGATGTGGTAATTGAGTAAAATGAGGAGGGCTGATGCATATCACCTCAAGATTGTCCGTCCCTTTTACGGCTGTGCAGGAGCCATTCTGAAACATTTAAATAGGTGATGAAGTAAGTGTAGCTAATCTCTTTGACCTTCACCCCAGACATATTAACAGTCAGATAAGCTTGTGGTGGATACTGCTTGGAGGAGATTGTCTTGGTTGCAACTGAGTGGTGGTGTTACTTTCATTGCATATAGATTTCTTTCGTGCTGTTGAGTTCAGTAAGTTTTGTTTCGACTTTTACTCGGCTTTGCTGGAATTACTGCTGTGGATTGGGGACATGAATTCTTGATGGGAAATCTTGTCTTTTCCCATGCTGTAGATAGTAGATACAGCAAGCTAGATTGGAGCCACTTTGAGGCGGCACAAAGTTGTTTTTTTTTCTCTTTGTACACATATCAATTCAAAAGAGGTTTGGCAAACAGAAGGGTCTTTTATTGATTGTAACTGTCTCTCAGAAGGTTGTCATTCTTCTTATCCCCTCCTTGCTACTGGCTTTGGGAAGAGTTGTCAGCTGCTTAATGAAGAATGGTGGCCTGCTTCAACCAGGTAAAGAGCATTCTTTCTACCAGTTAAGGTCACCACTGCTTTGAAATTCTTTGCCACCGGATTTTTCCAGGTAGTATCTGGTGACATTTCCCACATTATTCAGGCCACAGCTCACTGCCACATCAAAAAGGTCACTGATCGTCTGTTCAGGAGTGCAACACAATTTATATCCTTCCCGATGGAACCAAAGAAGCTGAGGGAAAGTGCAAGTTATAGCCTGGTATGGTTCCCAAAGGTGCAGGGAGCAACTGACAGAAGTAGATAGCACTCAAAGCGCTGTATGTCAACCTCCTAAAGAGTGGCAAAGGCTTGTCATTCCATTAGTGTTCACGTATTGAACAATGCCACGCAGATTGTCCTGCATGTGAATGCCCAGTATCAGGAAATTAGCAGGACATTTTTATCATATGTTAATCCACCATGTCAGACTCAAGACTCTGTGCCATATATCATGTTGCTGATTGGCAATCTTACCCAGTCCTCTATTATCATAGCTAATGATTTCAGCGCATTTCCCACAAATAGAAGGACCAACAGTCATTATATAGGAGATGCATCCAATCTAAGATACGCCATTGAGAGAACAGAAAGTAATTTGTAATTTTATCACCCTGAGCTCTTCAGAGGCTTAGCAGAGGTGTGGTTAAAAAGTCACCATGGCTGGAACCTGAACATTTTAAGGGTTTGTTTCAGTAGGACAAGAAGAAGGCAAAGGAGGTAAGGTAGCTCTATAAGCATAGGATCAGTCCAGAAATGAGAGGTAGTCTTAGGTTCAGGTGGTGAAACTGTAAAATCAGTTTGATTAGAGATAAGAAATGGCAAATAAAATAATTCACTAGTGGGAATGACACGAGATAAATTGTAGCGCAGAGTATATATGCACATAGGATGAAAACAGAAAGTCCTGGAGAAACTCAGCAGGCAATGTTTGTGGAGAGAGAAACAGAGTTAATGTTTTGCGTCTGATATGACTTATACAGAACTGTGCGTAGGGGTCTGTAAGAAAGTTACTGTGATAATTGTGGACGATTTTAATGTTCAGACAGATAGGACAAATCAAATTGGCAATGTTGGCCTGGAGAATAGGTTCATAGAGTGTATACATGAGTTTTCTGCGAACAATATGGTCTGGAGCCAACTAGAAAACTGGCCATTTAGACCTGTTTTAAGGCCTGTTTTGGACCTTTAATTTGTAGTGAGATAACAAAAGATCCTTGAGGTAAAACCAATGTTATAGAATTTTACATTTTGCTTCAGCGTAAGAAATGTGGTTCAAAACTTAATTAAAGGCATTTATAACAGTATTGAGTCAAAGTCGGTTAAAGTAGATTGGGAGAATATGTTAAATGGTAAAATGACAGGGAAGAAGTGGCAGACATTTAAGGAGAAATCTCATCATTCTCAACATAGATATGATCCATTGAGAAATAATGAATCTGAGAAAGATTCACAATCTGTGGCCAACTAAGGAAATTAAGGATGGTATTAAATTAATGTAAAAGTGTGTAATGTTGTGAGAATTAGTGAGAGCCTAGAACATTATAAGAGATTTGGAAACCAGCAAAGGATGCCTCAAAAAATGAAGTGTGAGAAATTGGTATACAAGGTTAAAACTAGCAAGAAATATAAAACCGACAGTAACAGCTTTTACAAGTATGTAAAATGGAAAAAGAGTATCTAAAATGAGCCTTGGTTCCCGAAAAGGGAAAACTGGAGAATTAATAAATTGGAAAAAGGAACTGATAAAGACTTTGGACAGATATTTTGTATTTGTCTTTGCAATAGAGAATACAGAAAACAACCCAAGAGTGCTGGCAAAACGGACAAAACGTAGGGAAAAATTTAAGACACTCACAATCACCAGAAAACAATTGTCAGAAAAACTAATGGGGCAACAGTCTGTCAAGTTCCATGGATCTGAGAGCCTGTATCCTAGGTTCTTAAAAGGACCTCATTGACTATAACCTGACGAAGGAGCAGTGCTTTGAAAGCTTGTGATTTCACATAAACCTGTTGGACCATAACCTGGTGTCACTTCTGACTTCGTCCACCCCAGTCCGGCACTGGCATGTCCACATCAAAATATCCTAGATTCTGGAAAGGCCCCAGCAGATTGTAAAGACGTAAATGTAACGCCATTATTCAAGAAAGAAGGGAGACAGAAAACCGGAAACTCGGCTAGTTCTCCTAATTTTGAAATTGGGAAAATGCTTGAATCCATTGTTGATGGTGAAGTAGCAGGGCATTTAAAAATCATAACACAATAAGGCAGAGTCAACATAGTTTATGAAAGGGAAATCATACTTAACAAATTTCTTTGAAATCTTTGTGAATGTCAGCAGGGATACAATTGATGTACTGTATTTTTCTTTTCCAATAGGTATTTAGTAATGTGCCACATTATGTAGTTTGTTACATAAAATGAGAGCTCATGGTGTAAGGGATATTAGCGGAGATAGAGTATTAGCTCGCTAACAGGAAATAGAGAAGTGGGATAAATAGGTAGTTTTCATTTTGACAAACTGTAGTGAGTGGAGTGCCACAGGGTCAATGTTAATGTTTCTGATTTAATATTAATAACTTAGTTGAAGGGACCAAATGTATTCTGCTCAAATTTGTTGATAATTGCGAAGTTAGGGCAGGAGATAGGTTGTGAGGACAATACAAAGAGTCTGCGAAGGAGAGAAATAGGTTGTGATTTTGCAAAGAAATTCTCATTTTGAATACAACATGGAAAATGTTAGCGAGTGTAGGCTTGAAAGACTAAATGGCCGGTGCCTGCTCCTTTTTCTTACAATCTTCTAAGCATTGAAGCTGTTTTTAAAAA